TCTCACGCATCTGGCGTGTGACACACGCTTTCACTCTCAATCTCACGCTCTCACGCTGCCCAAACTATTCTCACGCCAAAAACAAGAATACCGAAGACTAGAAACGGTTTTGAAAACTTTTGTCAGGTAGTGATCGTCTTTGATAATGTCTTCTGGCCAATCAGAATCAAGATAACGGCGTGGTGTTGTTCCAGGAAGTCCCGACGGAGAATACTTTTGCTGTAGTACATCTCTATATACATCGATACAACATTACGTGTTGATAGAAATCAACACGTAATGAAATAAGACCCCACGGTTTGATGATTGATAGGTGCAGGGACGTGCACAGGTACGGGCTAAAACATTTTTACTGTTTGCGCTCATCCTAATTTTCGGCCTTGATGTAACAACATTCATAATTAAGTCAAGGTAACACCCTTTTCACCCCGGTTACACTTTTAATTTGCCCTGTACGATGGACGCTTTAAGTGATGAAAGTGGGGGGTGTTGGCTTATCAGGCGTCCGCAGCTCACAGCCAAAGTGGGTGTGGGATCGAGCGAGAGAGATAAATGCAATTTATGTAAACACATATTTCCAAGGCACTCTTTTATAATTATTGGGGTAAACAGGTTTGAAATCATTTCAATGTATAATATAGGACAGAAAACCAAAAATATCGTTTAAAACTTGAGAGATACAAAAATATGCATAAATAAACGTTAACTAGGTCAAATAAGATATGAATGAACAACAAAAATAAAATAAGTTGCATTTATTTGCTATTGGCTATGGTAGGTTATTGGTTATGTTCACATACTAATTTGATTATTAAACCAATTGTTTTCATATGGGTGTTTAGAGTTGTACCCCCTAGGTCAGGTCTCTAGTAATGTGTGCTCAAAGTGCACCCGATTGAAGCATTTTACTTTAAATGTTCAAACATTTCTTCCTGGGGGGGGCATACCCCCGGTCCCCCTTAGAGGATGTGACATCCACACCCCAATTCAAACATATACCGAATACATTTTGAAGCCTTTTTGATGTATATTACCAACATGTCAATACGTTTCTGTTTTTGTAGTATATTGGTCTTTTGTGGAGATTTTTCATTTATTCTTTATATATTCTATTGTGTATTCCTTGGGTACTTTTATCTTTTCTATTGTACGATTGAAGTAAATGTGGGAAGCGTTTAACAACAGCCATTTACTTCAAAGATTGTTCTCAATGTTATTCTTATTTTTGTTAATCCTGGAAGAATGCCAGAAAAAAAGACATTCTCTTCAAGAATAAAAAAAACCATGACATTAGTAATTGTGAAAACAAATTAAATAAGTTGTTAGGTTAAGTCAGGGCCGTTTTTTGGCATAGGCGACATAGGTGGTCGCCTAGGGCGCCATATCTGGGGTGGGGTGGGGGGGGGGGGGGGGGGGGGCGCTGCGCTGGCAGCTCTGGGAGGGAAAAAAAACATTTTGACTGTTTGCGCTCATCCTAATCTTCGGCCTTGATGTAACAGCATTCATAATTAAGTCAAGGTAACACCCTTTTCACCCCGGTTACACTTTTAATTTGCCCTGTACGATGGGCGCTGATGTAAGTGATGAAAGTGGGGGGTGTTGGCTTATCAGGCGTCCGCAGCTCACAGCCAAAGTGGGTGTGGGATCGAGCGAGAGAGATAAATGCAATTTATGTAAACAAATATTTCCAAGTCACTCTTTTATAATTATTGGGATAAACAGGTTTGAAATCATTTCAATGTATACTATAGGACAGTAAACCAAAAATATCGTTTAAAACTTGAGAGATACAAAAATATGCATAAATAAACGTTAACTAGGTAAAATAAGATATGAATGAACAACAAAAATAAAATAAGTTGCATTTATTTGCTATTGGCTATGGTAGGTTATTGGTTATGTTCACATACTTATTTGATTATTAAAATGTAAACCAATCTTTTTCATATGGGTGTTTAGAGTTGTACCCCTAGGTCAGGTCTCTAGTAATGTGTGCTCAAAGTGCACCCGATTGAAGCATTTTACTTTAAATGTTCAAACATTTCTTCCTGTGGGGGCATACCTTCGGCCTCGTTTACAACACCCCAGTTGACAGTTGGCGATGTCTCTGGCCAGTGGGTTGTATGTCTCCTCTCGCTGTTGGTAAATTTGAGACACCGGCTGGACTACTTTTTAAGTGCCAGGCTTCTTCCACTGGCACTCAACATCTGTGGAGCTGATCTGCCACATGGCAAATATTGCCAATGCTGCAGTGTGGCTGCATTTGTACATCCCCCGTGCACAATCACAGACAGCGCTCTGCATCGCGCCATCGTCTCCCATGCAGATCTATAAAAATAAAGTAAGTACCATTTGTTAGCATGCTATAATAGATTGAATGAGCAATAATACAAGGATGGTCCGGATCTGGGGGTGGGAGGGTTTATTTTTCCATAGTTTTGTCCTCTTGTCTGATTGTTGTTATTGTTTGTTTTTTCTGTATTTTTTGTAATTTGTGTTGTATTGGTTGTGATTGTACATTGTATTTTTCTAAATGTGTATGAATACATTTTTGAAAAACATTTGATCAACAATAAAAAAGGATTTGGTCAGGATCTAGACTCAGTGTGTAGTTTATTAATTAATCAATGCTCTCTACATTAGGAAAACACATACCAGTGTACCAGAGGAAGTCACACACAGCTGTGCCTAGATAACCAAAATCCTTGAATCTACACACAGCAAATAAACTCAAATGACACAACGAGAAAAAGGAGATTACACATACAGTATAGTCGATATAAAACTGGCCGCTTCAATCTGAAGAGCAACTAAAACAAAACACGGGAGTGTACCTTGTTCTTGTGAACACTAATGTTATCCACAGCATACACAGAGACCACGAAGTTCTTAAGGAGAAAACTAGTTACTAACACAAAACACGTTAGTGCACCTTGTTAGCTAATGTTAGCTAGCTGACATTAACGTTACACATTGCACTCATATTACTCACCGAAACCTTGTAAAGCCGGTCCGGCATGTTGGCTCTTACAGAACCGACTAACTCCCCTTTCGTGTATATACAGCTCTCAACATGCCCGTTCTTGTTCTTGTTGTTGTTGTTCTTCTTCTCTTGCTTTTACCCAGACTTGTAGTGATGTTCACCTCGTTTTATACTTTTCGCCTCATTCTGAAAGAAACAGGTGAAATTTGCTAATGTGACGGCCGTCTTTGTGATGGTGACGCGTATTGTGCGAGACCAGAGACCTGTAGTTCACTGAGCGGTTTCACACATCGAAATGTGTAACTTCACAGTTTTACGACACATTTTTATTTTTTTGACTTGCAAAATGTTCTTTTAAATTGACAAACATCATATGTGTCATTCGTGGCACAATTCAAACGGGATCAAAAGATAACCTTTCTCTCTCAATTGACTTCAATGTATAATTTTCCGCTTCCGGGGTCCCATGGAGGCTCCCGGAAGGGGAGGGACTTCGCTTCTCTATTTGGAGCAGGCGGGATTAGACTCTGACGTCACAGTCGAGCCGTTAGTGGCCGACTCCGCCTACTAATGGCCCGTCAACACAGCGGCGTGCGTTGAAGCTTCCAACGCTTCTGCCCATTCACTTTGAATGGGGTGACGTCACTTTTAGCCGAACTGCATCGTGGGAAGCGACGCGGAGTGTTGCTGGCGTGACTCGCTGCAAAAGTTGAGCAATGTTCAACTTTTGACGCCTCGGCAGAAGCGTCAGCCAATCTAATCATATGCCAGTACAAGCTCTAGCCAATCAAACCGCTGCTTGTGTGTCAGGGGCGGGAGATTCATGTGATTGGTTATTGGTCGAGTGTCAGACACGCCCGCCGGCAAGCGTCAACGCACGCCGCTGTGTGGACGGGCCGTAAGGGCTTCACGGCAACTCTGCAGAATCCTATGGGTGACGTCACGGACACTACGTCCATTTATATATACAGTCTATGGTTTTATTATGAAAACATCGAGACCGGAAATACTGTTTTCAACCCGTAACTTTACATGTAAGCTTGCCGCATATACACGTTCTCCTGACGAAACCTCAAATCATCTTCATAATATCTATCAAACTATAGATCCTACATATCGACTGGACGTGGATTCTAAAAGTACAATATATACTTCTCACTAGAAATCTAATCAAATAGCGTTTTAATGGCCAAACTATCCTACAATTTAGGATTTTACAGAGAGGGTTATTTGTGAATAAACGACCCTCTGTAACATTTGCATTCAACGGGAGCACTAGAGGCCGACAACTTTAAAACGTAATTATAGGTCGTATTAAGCGCTTGAACAAACGACATATTTGGTCGTAATAAGCATAAGGGCTTGAACAATCGACCCATTTGGTCGTATGAGTTGGAGGACTTGTTGCAATTCAGAGGTAAATTGTGTATTTTTACTCCACTACATTTATTTTAAACCTTTAGTTACTTTACAGATTTTGATTAATTATGTGAAATATAATCAAAAGTTGAAACAGACTTTAGTTCCACCTGGAGTAAATTCACAAGCTACCCTGCAGTATACAAAGTCATTAAAAATAGCTGCACCTTTACCAGCTTTGATAACACTTCAATGCATCAATAATTATAAAACATAATGTATTATTCTGAAATGGACCAATCTGCAGAGTGAGTACTTTTACTTTTGGTAGCCTACTTTAAGTATATTTTGATGCTAATACTTTTGTACTTTTACTTGAGTATGTTTTGAATGCAGGACTTTTAATTGTAACATTCCTACAGTATTCCTACACTCTGGTACTTCTACTTTTACTCAAGTACACGATCTGAGTACTTGTTCCACCTCTGCATAGTTACTCACATCCACTGCTTAACGGTCTCGTTGTGGTCCTCGGACCTCAGGTTGGGCAGCTCCACCTAAACAGCACAGGTTCCTGATTGGAGCAGATGACCACGAGCCAACGTGAGTGCGCTCCTCTATAAATAGACGGCGGAACGCTCGCAGTGTCTCAGTGAAAACAAACAACAGCCATCAGGAAGCCAAACTTTCGATGTGAGGTTGAACTGTAAAGCCTTTAATGGAGCACAGAGAGTATGGTCCTCCGGAGAAGAGACGCAGGGTACGCTGTATTCTTTTAAGTGTCGTCGGTCTCCTGCTCCTGCTTATTATCGTCACCGTTGTGTTGGGACTCAGTCTGCGGCAGAATACAGACAAACTAAATCCCACATTCATTGCAAGGTGTCAGGAGTTCAAAGGGTAAGCGTTTTTAGAACTCAATGTTCAGAATATAAAGTAGGCTCAAAGTTAAACTGGGATTCCTCACATAACTGGTAATTCAATCTGGAATGCAATGAAATGGTAAATATTTGATGCAGTAAGCATTTGCACTAAATTGCCAGTTTATTATACACTCAGCCAGTGCAGCCTATTACAATACATTGCAATAAGCATTTTCAGCTAATTGTATAATTTGTTTTGTTAAGTTTGTTGTTTGTGATGCTTTCGATCTGTAATACATTACTCAGAAAGCTATTCTGTTATTTACCCTTATTCATATGAATGGGATACACAAACTAATAAAAACACCTGGTAATAAATACTGTATAATGCATGCATTACAGATTCAAAACCACAAACTACATCTCAAAATTATAAATTCAATGAAGATCGTATTAGGCCTAAAGGCTGGATTTATTTTAGCTATGTATAAAGTTAGTTTTTTATAAGATGCCCTTTATTTGTTTGAATCAACAAATGGAATTGCATGGCAAAAACACAAGACATATAATAAAGAAAAAGTATCAATACGTCTGTGATTATTTAGTCTAGGAAAGAATTCCATATTTCCATTGCTCTACTGTCCATTTTAGCGTTTACCTCCAAACCGTATGAATCCTGATTCCTAAATGTGTTTAATTGACTGTATTGATATGATTGGAAAAACTATGTATGTATTTTATAAACTATTTAACACGTTAAAATGCAGAGACATTTTTCAAATGCAGAAATAGTGATTTCATGAATGAGAGTTACAGTGTGTACGTGCTAGTTTATAATCTTAAGGAATATTAGCAAATACTGATGATTCACATTAATGTTTAGAAAGAGGGAGAGGTGCAGGAATATTAAGTGCTCACGATGAGAGAAAGTAAATGAAACGCTAAATATGGAGTAAAGGTTCAGTAGTCATTGACTCACCTACTGCACATTGTTTGTGTCTGACCAGTGTAAATACAGCTGATGAAAATAATATGTAGCATCCGTCTTATCAACTGTAATTGAGCTAATCTTGACTGTAAATATGAATTAATCATACTGTGTTGGCTGCTTTTCAACCATGATAGTTCCTTTACAATGATAGCAATTCATAAAGCACTTATTAAAACACAAGTGACAAAGTGCTTCAGAAAGCACCTTCAAATAAAACATGAATAGAAAGCTCATCCACACTGTCTTTTATTTTTCAGGTACGACTGTGAAAAGATGTGGGATGTATTTGAGCAAGCCTATGTAGGCCGGGACCCTTGTGATGTTCCCATGGAAGCCTATGACCCTTTTATTGCCGCCGCCCCCTTGAAACCTGCCTGCAACCGAGTAAAAAGCCCTCATAACAAAACGGTCAGTATGTGCGCACATTATACACTCAACCCCTCTTGGTAACACGTGTGTGTGTTTGGGTTATAGATGATGTTCTGGAGTAAAACCAAGGACCTTGTCCATGACTTCACGGAGAAGAGAGATTGTTACGTCACCGTGGAGGACTCTCTGCTGGGGTCTGTGCTGGATGGTCTCACCTGGTGTGGAAAGGAGGGCAGCAGTGGTAAGATTCTTTGTGCAAAAGACAACCTCATAACTGTGTAATTTAGTCGAGTTATGCGATTATTTGCTTAATAAATTAAACAATAAAGGGCAGAGAAAAAAGGAGCTGCAGTGTCTTAACGATGATGTTCTATTTGACATCTTAAAACCAGTTTTTTAACTTCACTTAAGCAAAACACACCCTCCAAACCTGTATGTCAAATGCCAGAGGTGTTATTTATGTTATGCCTAGAGTTATTTTAACACAGGTATCATAGTCATGTTAAATAAAGAGTGCTTGCAACAGTTACCAAATTACCTCAAGTTTTCTGAGAAGACAAGGAATAAGTAACAAGGTTTACATTTCATGTTGTAGTACAATAAATATCATCAAATTAAATTGCAGTTGTTTTTCAATCAGGCAATTTTCAGTTTACACACATGTCTCTCCAAAATGAATCCTTCATTTCATCCTGTTAGACATTTGTCTTACAACAACATTCTTATCAATTAATCCTTAAGTCTGTGCGAAAGTTGAAGGAAATTCTATGGAGGACATTTTTAGAATTAATTTTTTACTTTTCTTTTCTATGTTTTGTTTATGTTTGGATCACTTGTTTTCTTTCTCAGTGTGGGTCCTGAAGTTTTCCATTGTTTTTCCAATGCAGCTCATCAAAGCACATTCTTATAATTGAAATGCAAAAAGAAATGACTGACTGTGTGTGTGTTGTTCTAGAAACATTCACTACCGGCTGCCCAGGGTGGACAGACTGTGTGAACAACACTGTTCGCTCATTTTGGAACAGAGTCTCAACTGCTGTGAGTTATCAACAAGATTTCACTGGTTTTGCCAAAAATACAACAGTTGTTGGATACAGCATGATTGAAATGACCCATTTTAATCGAAGGTGGCGCATGAGGTGAATGAATGAGGTTGATATACAGTAGAGGAGAAAAGTAAAAGGTCACTCAGCCTTCTTTTTCAATCAATGAGGCTTTGTTTGCGGTCTCCATGGAGTCACATTGTGTAGCTCTCTCCTGAGCGAGCAGTGTCCACCCACACATTCAGCAGAGCCCTCTTTATTTTTGCCTGGGTTTTATTCTGTGATTAAAACACCCACACCTTTCTTAATATTCACCTAAACAAACCACTACAAAAAAACCTTATTTATCCAATCACATATAAAAACATTGACTTGCAGGAACACAAACAAAAAATTAAAAGGGTTTAAACGAGACAAGCTGAAATGGATACAATTCAACCAGGACACATGAAAAACATGGAACTGAAGAAGCACTTTGTTAGATTACATAGATTCAATTAAATATATAAACAGTTATCATACATGTCATTAGTTAAATCCAGGTGTTTGTTTTATGCTTACTTATCCCTGCAGCAGACCACTGGAGGTCAGAATAAACTAGATTTTCTGCTACTGATAAGCTAAGATTAATTCTGAGCATACTGCAGTACCAACTTCAAAACTTCAAGAATTGGTTATTTAAATCAGAATTTATAACCCTTGTAAATACATAGAAAACATTTATTTTGCAAATACACTTTCACATTCCAAGTGTTGCTTTATACCTACTTATTATATCTTCCAGGTTTCCTTATAGGTCCCCTATTATACTATTTAAAATATATATATTTTAAGTCTCAGATATATACAAAACATGTCTTACATTCAGTTAATAATGGGTTCTTCGGCTGCTTGAAATATAGATGTATGTAGGAGAAGGTGGTCTGTAGTGTAAGTATATACATAATGTTCTCTAACCTCATCTTCCTGTCTTTAGTTTTCAGATGTTGCCTGTGGTGATGTCACAGCAATGCTAAACGGATCCATCGTCACACCATTTCATCCTGCAAGGTGAGCATATTTTATAGTTCAATGACTTTTATGCAAACCTTATTTCAATATCTCACTTGCTAATGCTAATTCAGCAATAGTTTGTAAAGAAGAAGAAGAAGACATACTTTATTAATCCCCAACGAGGAAATCACTTTTGCCACTTTTTTACACACATTTCGCACACAAGCGTAATACACATATACAGAGGATATGCACAAACAACATGCAGAGTGATTAGTTTGCCAGTTAGCCAGCAGTTGGCGGTTTGTTGCCTTGCTAAAGGGCAGCTCTGCAGGGCCCAGGAGGTTAACTGGCACCTCTCCAGCTACCAGTCCACACCCCGTATTTTTCAGTCCGATCCAAGTCCCTACAGTCTGAGCCACTGCTGCCCCAATAATAACATTGACCCCATTTTTGTAAGTGAACAACATCTCAAAGCAAATCAGACAAACGGGGATTCATGATTTATGGGCTCAAATGTATACTCCTAACTAACTTTTTTTTCAGTTTGAATTTAATCACATAATATCCAGTTTCCATTACACGTTTACGTTACCTGAAGGCGAATTTAAGTTCTCACTGCTAAACACCGCACTGGACCCTAGAGAGCAGCATACTGGGAACTGCTGGAGTCCAAATGTCCTACACTGAACGTTTACTAAAGCTTCTAGAAGGAGAATAGAAAATGAACAGCGAGTGCACACAGAGAGTTCAACGAGACCATTTTACCAAAATCAAATTAAGTTTATTTATATAGCACCTTTTTAAAACGATTTTTGGTCAAGCCAAAGTGCTGTACATACAATAAAAACACAGATAGGACCATAAATAATCTATGGATATCTGGAGTGGAGTCCACACAGGTCAGGGACACTGCATTCTAAGAAATCTGTAAAACCCGATTGTCTGGTGTTATTTGTATTCTCAGAGGCCCAGGTCTCTTGTGACCTTACAGATCCCTATTTCCAATGCTGCTGTGGTTTTACAGATGGTGTCAAATGTTTTAATTTATGGGTGACGGTGGAACAGACTTCCAGGAATGGGCCATGTCAGGACACTGAAATCTGCTCAGAAAATCTAAATGAATGCAATCCTTTTAGAGCAGGAGTGTCGGATAATTCCATGTCAGACCTTTCAATCATCATGGTTCTGCTCTGAATGTCTTAAATGTGATTAATTCAATATGTTGTTCTCTTTAAAGTTAAATATGAAGGCACTCCGCAGCAAGATAAACATTTAATAAAATAACTTGTAGTGGTGGTTATATATTGTGGGTTTGACAGTAATTGGATCTCTAAAAATGAAGCTTTTGACTGAGAACAAATATATATTATTGAGAATTATGTACAAGAAACATATGTAATAAGTCATATATTTTTTAATAACCTTACCCTAACCCTAATCTGACATAATATCTGTTTCTTCTACATAACCAAGTACATTATTACTTTTGTTTTCAGTATTTTTGCGAGCATCGAGGTGAAGAGGTTCGACTTCCCCAGGGTGAAAAGCCTGAATGTTGTTCTGGTCACACAGAACAAAACTGTGTAAGTGTTTTTCTGTTCATTTTAAATGTGATAAGTAAATAAATGTTCTGTTTTTGCTTCCAGAGTAGGTTATTTTGTTGGTGTTCAACATACAAATATGCAGAAAGTTAAACAGGTAAAGTTGTTCCTTAAGTCCTGTTTTCTGTATCCTCTTCAGGACAAACTGCACTAATGCATCTTTAAAGGATTTACAGAAAGAGCTGGATCAAGGGATAACATATAACTGCGAGGAAGTGACTGAGTAAGTATAGCATTTTTGTGTGAGAGGACGTCCCCATGTATAAATGAATATACTCATAACGACTACATGTTACTGTTGCTATGCAGAACCCAGATCCAGGACTGCAGCTCCCATCCAGAGAAACCCTGTGGAGCCTGTTGGTGATGACCTGTGAACTCAATATCAGAATATACTGTGTAAACAAAACAATAACCTACTGTAAAAATAATATTTTGTCCAGAATATATTGTGTAAAGTCTTTGTAAATGGAATAATGGGCTATTATACATAAGGTGTATTTTCATATGAATGTCAATGACGTTTTTTTTAATCTTTTTTCGAATCTGGTGCTAGCTAATTCGACTAACAGTCTTGCTCCCACCTGTAAGAAAATGTTTTAAATACAAAAAAATATATATATTTAAAGTTGTTTGTGTGAACTATTACATAAGATATAAGAAATACTTTTAAGATCCAACACTAGAATATAAATGGAATTATCTTAAATAGAAATTAAATCGAGAAATTATATTAAACGTAATATGTGCATTATAATAAATAAACTTTGGGATTCACGATTAAATGTGTAAGAATATGCATTGAAAGACAAGTGTAACAAATAGTATTATTGTACTGATTGCAGTATTGTGTAAACCAGAGGTATTGCACATTTTAAACAATTATTGACCTGTTAAATAAAGCTTCTAAGGCTAGTGAGATGTACATTTTCAACACTAGGGGGCCCTGTTCAGAGATTCTTAGTATCAGTTTCATTCATGATTGTTAAAAGCAAAATCATTGAATTCAAAATGTTGATGCCATGAGGATGTTAAATAGAATTCAAACAGTACAACAAGGTTTGAAAATGGATCTATTGGACATTATACATTATGAATTGAACTTAAGGTGCACTTACATAACTGTTTCCTATGAGGAGTTGCAGTTGAGGGTTTCAGGAAAAATACCTACTGTAGTGGTGAAAGCTCTCCTTATTTATTGTTAAATAAATAAATATAAATGTCATATATATATATATATAAATATAGACCATTTCTTTTTTATTTAAAGTTAACGTTTCAGTTATTTCTACTGAGACAAGTACTGTAATGTCGGTAAACATCAGCATAGCTTTGGTAATTTCCACTACCACCACGGCACCAGGTTTACATTGAAACCTTTTGAATACTTTTTGATATTAAGGATACACACACTTATCTACTATTAATTAACATGAATACAAACTATTACCAAAGTGTTAACCATAGACATGCCAAATGTTTGTTTGTTAAAAGCTAAAATAATTCACATGTTGCCCGTCTTTATGACCAAGTAGCCTAGTAGTCTGTTTAAAGTTTAAACTGATTAAAGAGCCTAGCATGTTAGCATTTTTTCTTAAAGGTCCCCTATTATACAATTTTCAACAATATATTATAGGTCTCAGATATATACAAAACATGTCTCTGAAGTGTTTGACTCGAAATACATAACAGATTGTGCATTGTAGCATCCAATAAACCCCTCTGTTTCAGCCCTGTTTCAAAAGTGCTGATTTTGTGTCTGTAGCTTCAATTGCGAATGAGCTGCTGTTAGCCACGCCACTCTGCGAGATGATTGGTTTACAAATCAGGTGATAAGGTGGGCAGGTGTTACCTGGGTTGGTTATTGGCTAATGGTTGCACAATCCAAAAAAACATTGAGACATCACGAAGTGGCCAAAATCTGATCAGCTCATTTTCAGACCGTTTTGATACACCGATCAGCCATAACATTATGACCACTGACAGGTTAAGTGAAGAACATTGATTATCTTGTTAGAATGGCACCAGTCAGTGGTTGGGATATGTTAGGCAGCAATAAACACTTTGTCCTCAAAGTTGATTTGTTGGAAGCAGGAAAAATGGGCAAGCGTAAGGATGTGAGCGACGTTGAAAAGGGCCAAAATTGTGATGGTTAGCAACTGGGTCAGAGCATCTCCAAAACTGCAGCTCTTGTGGGCTGTTCCCGGTCTACAGTGATCATGACCTACCAAAAGTGGGTCCAAGGAAGGAAAACTATTGAACTGGCGACAGGGTCATGGGCGGCGAAGGCTCATTGATGCGCATGGGGAGCAAAGGCTTGCCCGTATGGTGCGATCCAACAGAAGACCTACTGTAGCTCCAATTGCTGAAACACTTAATGCTGGTTCTGTTAGAAAGCTGTCAGAACACACAGAACATTGCAGTTTGTTGCGTATTGGCTGCGTAACCACAGACTGGTCAGGGTGCCCATGCTGGAACCTGTCCACCACCTAAAGCGCCTACAATGGGCATTTGAGCATCAGAACTGGACCAAGGAGCAATGGAAGAAGGTGGCCTGGTCTGATGAATCAATTTTCTATTACATAATGAGGATGGTTGCACTATGGGAAGAATGCAAGCTGGCGGAGCTGCTTTGGGCAAAATGATGCTTGGGTCCTGCCATTCATGGGGATGTTACTTTGACTCGTACCCCCTACCTTAACATTGTTGCAGAACAAGTACACCCCTTCATGTAGACAGTATTACCTAATGGCAGTGGCCTCTTTGAGCATGATAATGCGCCATGCAGTGGCGGCTGTCCCATAGGGGGCGATAGGGCGCCACCCTCCCTAAACCACACACAAAAACATTAATATTATTAATAATAATAATACTAATTAATTATATATATTGTCCATATTTGTGTGTTTAAAATATGGAATGTGTAGTGCAGTGAAACTGTAGTGAATTACTTACAAAGCTGTTTCTGTTATTTAGCCTACATGACTCATACGAATGCGGTGGACAAAATAATAACAATTCCTGTCAATACTGTATAATGCATTAACGATTAAAAAACAACATCTTTATACTGTTTTCATGCATTACAGTTTAGCACCACAATAATGTCCTCGGAAATTATTATATGGTTGAATTGGCACTTTTTGTAAACATTTAATATTATAAAATTCATGGAGATGGAATTTCTTACAGCAATGTTGTAAGGCTGCATTTATTAAAGCTATGTGTTATCAGTCTTTTTAGGTTAGCATTAGCTGTACCCTAAAGCTTGTCTTCCTGGGGACTCAACACATTTGATGGCATGGAAACGGTCATATTTATGACTTTATTTTAGCTAGTCAACATGGCTTCTCAGAATAAACTACAGATCCCCCAAAAGCATAGACATATATGTAAGGTATTCCATTTATTTTAATTATTCCAATGTGTATTAAAGGAGGAATCTTTTCAAATACCAATTATTCACATTCCTGTTTATAAAGAGGGTGAGGGGCAAGAATAAGAAAAAGGGCTGACAATGAGAGAAAGTAAATGTGATGCTAAAGATTAAAGAGTAAAGCTTTGGTCAATGACTCGCCCACTTCCTGGCTGCACTTTGTAATTGTCTGTCTAGTGGACATACAGCGTAATGACAAGTCATATTTTGCTGTACAGGCTGCTTTTCAACCATGATATTTTCTTAACAACAATGGCAACATTGTATGCTATGTATGAAATTGTTTCTTTATGTGAAATGCCCTGTTTTCATTTTCAAGATGCCAAATGCCTTTTTACAAGCAAGACCTGCACCAAATTTGGTCCAACACTTCGGCATTTTCATCATGATGACTCTGATCCACTTTCCTGACACTAAACAGCACTGATTTTATTTTTCAGGTACAACTGTACAGACATATGGCATGAGTTTGAAAAAGCCTATGTGATTTAAAGAGTGCGCTGGATCAAGGAATAGCATATAACTGCAAGGAAGTGACTGAGTAAGTACAGCATCCATGTTTATATATGTATATACTCAAAATATATTGACATGTTATTTGTTTATTTGTATGCAGAGCTCAGATCAAGAAGTGCAGCTCCGAGAAACCCATTGGAGCCTGTTGGTGATGAACTCAATATCAGATTGGACTGTGTGACAAAATGACACACAACAAGCCATACAAATATTTTGCCTAGAGTTTATTTTTGAAAAGTCTCTGTAAATGAACAATGTGCTATTATACAGTACTTTAAATATACTGTATCATTATTTTTGTATGAGTTTGACAACATGTGAAATTACTCTTTTTTTATGTAAAGGTCAATGACCCATTTTTACAGTGACAATGCTGTTTTCGATCTTTTTTACTTTTTAATTACGTTCAATTGACAATCTTGCTTGTAAGGTTTTCTGCCTTTTATATGAGAACAATCTGAAAAAAACCTCAACATTATCGATCCTATTCTATAATAGAAATAGACATATTTTAGAATAAGTCATTGAAATAAATACGAAGAGAAATGTTGATCCATTATTGTTTAATAAAAGAAAAAAATGTTAAAATATGGAAAAAAAATAAAAATAAAATGTGTGTTGATAATAAGGATAAATATGGGATTTATAAATAAATGTGAGAAAATAAACGTGTTAATAAGAATGTTAACTGTGTCAGTATATGTATCGTATGGCTTGATTTCTGATAAAATATCATGTTTTGCACGGTGAAATCGTGACCTTACAGATCCATATTTCCAATGCAGCTGTGGTTTTACAGATGGTGTAAAATGTTTTAATTGATGGGAGACGGCGGAACAGACTTCCAGGAATGGGCCATGTCAGGACACTGAAATCTGCTCAGAACATCTGAATGAATGCAATCCTTTTAGAGCAGGAGTGTCGGATGATTCCATGTCAGACCTTTCAATCATCATGGTTCTGCTCTGAATGTCTTAAATGTGATTTTTTAAAAATATTATTCTTTCTCTTTAAAGTTTAAAGTAAATAAATGTTCTGTTTTTGCTTCCAGAGTGGTTTATTTTGTTGGTGTTCAACATACAAATATGCAGAAAGTTAAACAGGTAAAGTTGTTCCTTAAGTCCTGTTTTCTGTATCCTCTTCAGGACAAACTGCACTAATGCATCTTTAAAGGATTTACAGAAAGAGCTGAATCAAGGGATAACAAATAACTGCGAGGAAGTGACTGAGTAAGTACAGCATGTTTGTGTGAGAGGAAGTCCCCATGTATAAATTCAAATACATGTTACTGTTGCTATGCAGAACCCAGGTCCAGGACTCTCATCCAGAGAAACCCTGTGGAGCCTGTTGGTGATGACCTGTGTAAACAAAACAATAACCTACTGTAAAAATAATATTTTGTCTAGAATATATTGTGTAAAGTCTTTGTAAATGGAATAATGTGCTATTATACACAACATCTAATTAAGTTTGTACCTGTGTTACAGAGTGACTAAATGTGAAAGGTGTATTGTTATGTGAATGTCAGTTTCATTCATGATTATTTTACATCCTCATGGCATCAACCTTTTGAATGCAATGATTTTTCTTTTAACAGAGTTCCAATAGTACAACAAGGTTTGAAAATTGATTTATTAAACATTATACAATATTAATTGAAATGAAGGTGCACTTACATAGCCTTTTCCTAGGATTTATTTGGTGTCTGCACAACTGAGATTACTTTAAATTAATGAGGAGTTACTCAGTGAGTAATGAGTTGCAGTTGAAGATTTCAGGAAAAAGTGGACCTTGAAAATATATTTTTCTTTTTAATTTATTTTCATTATTTTCTAATTTACTAAACTACAGAATCAATTCCTTTTGTGCCTTTTAGTCGATACTTGAATTTTTAAGGCTGATTGGCTCCTGCTTTTGTATAAATGAACATGTATTGTATATAATATGCATGTATTTTGACATTAAATATGTGATCAACTTGTGAAATGTTGTCTTGTTTTTTTGTTAAATATTTTTCCTTTCAGTTTTGATTCATGAGAAACGTGAACCTGGGCAGAAGGTGTATGCACACTAAACCACTGAAGAGAATAGAATGTGCTTGTGAAAATAACACCTGCTTTTGGCTTTATATATGCTCTATATTTATCTAGATGTAGGCCACAAGATGTCTTATCTATTATGTGTGTGAACCAAGAGCGTGTTCTTTTGACACATACAGGAACTTAAAGAGTGCAGTCGAGAGTTTGCTGTGAGATTGTTATGGCAGGAAGCAGGAGTCACGTGGAGTTCAGAAACAACCTCTTCTTTTCTTTCTAGTGACTTGCTGCTGTGTGACAGACACGTACCATAAACAGGCTGCACAGGTGTTACATGTAAAACTACAACATGCACTGAATTAGGTTTGAATACAAAACATTAGGTTCAACTTAATATTATTGCTTTCAAATAGCCTAATACAGTAATGTGAAATCCGTTGACATAATACATTTAATTTAAAGGTCCCCTTTATACTGTTTTTCATCAATATATTATAGGTCTCAGATATGTACAAAACATGTCTCTGAAGTGTTTGGCTCGAAATACCAAACAGATCCTTGTAGCATCCCATAATCCCCTCTGTTTCAGCCCTGTTTCAAAAGTGCTAATTCTCTGTCTGTTACTTTAGATGAAAATAAGGAGCCACTCCCCACGCCCCTCTGAGAGATATTTGGTTACAAAAAAAAAAAAAAGAGGGGGGGGGGGGGTTACCTTGGTTGGTTATTGGCTAATGGTTACACAAGCCAACAAATCGTTATTATTACGACAGGGCGTTCAGTGTTGCGGCCCCCACCCTCTGGAATGCACTTCCTCCCGAGATCCGGAACGCTGCCTCTTCAAATCCTCACTAAAAACGCACCTGTTCACCATGGCCTTCGGACCCTAGTCCTTTCCTGGTCCCCTGGCTTCCTTTATTTTATTTTATTTTATTTTTTCTTATTTTGTTCACTCCTCATTGTCTGTTTTGTTTTGTCTGTCCACCATGTACAGCGACCTTTGGTCCCGTGAAAGGCGCTTTATAAATTCCATTTATTATTATCATTATGACATCATATAGTGGCCAAAATCTGATCTGCTCATTTTCAGACAGGTTTTTTTTCCTGAAACTTTCAGAGTCTCTTTACATAGAGGGGACACATGTTTATGTTTAAAAAACATGAAAAAGTGGATTTTGTATAATAGGTGACCAATCTTTCCTTCAATAAAGTCATCAGCGGCAAGTAAAGTAGAATGTACCTCACAATTTAATCAAGCAGTCACATTCAGTACTGTGTTTTTTTCCTCCCACCACTGCTTAACTTCCTCTTTGTGGCCGTCAAAACTCAAATTATGCAGTTCCACCTCAATCGCTTCCTGTTCAAGCTGATGCACTTGAGCTTAAAAACAACAGTTAGACAGCCCAACGTGCATTGTTAGTTTGGCATTTTCAAAGTCTCTACAATGGAGAAGAAACACTGTATTATTGTAACAGTTGTAATTTCTCTGGTTATTGTCTTTGTCGCCGTTGTGTTGGAAATCACACTGGGGAAGAGAACATTCAAGCAAGAATTCGAATACAGGTGTTCCAAGTTTGAAAGTAGTAAGAAGTAAGTGTTTTTGAGTTTTGAAAGGTTAAGTTAAGATATGTTCAGATAATGGGCTTACTTGGTTACTGCAGCCTAATACAACACACCTGCAAAAAGCATTTTCAGAAAGTTGTGTTTTTTTACAAGTTTTTGTTTGTGCTGCTTGTAACTGCTTGTAACTGTAGTGCATTACTTACAAAGCTGTTTCTGTTATTTAGCCTTCATGACTCATACGAATGCGGTGGAAAAAATAACAACAATTACTGGCAATACTGTATAATGCATTAACGATTAAAAAACAACATCTTTATACTGTGTTCATGCATTACAGTTTAGTATAACAGCACCACAACTATGTCCTCGGAAATTATTATACGGTTGAATTGGCACTTTTTGTAAACATTTATTATTATAAAATTCACGGAGATGGAATTTTTTACAGCAATGTTATATTAGACTGCATTTATTAAAGCTAGCTCTTTTTAGGATACCATTAGCTGTACCCTAAAGCTTGTCTTCCTGGGGACTCAATACATTTGATTGCATGGAAAATAAAAGACATATATTGGAGAATTCATTTACAATTTATCCTAATAAATACATTTCTATATATTTATGATTGTATTTGAGCTACTCAACATGGCTTCTCAGAAACAACTACAGATCCCCCAAAAGCATAGAATCATACAAATATATGTAAGGTAATGTAATTATTCCAATGTGTATTAAAGGAGGAATCTTTTCAAATACTGATCATTCACATTAATGTTTATAAAAAGGGTGAGGGGCAAGAATAAGAAAAAGGGCTGACAACAGGGCCGGCCCTAGACTTTTGGGGGCCCCCTTCACTCTAGCGCGTTCTCACTACATACAACACGAACCAACTTTTGTCTTATGATTTTCTTTTAAATATTGAAGTTAAAAGCATCAATCTGGTGCACTTTGGGAGCAAAATTAAGAGATCTATGGATACATCTCTCAACACCCATATGAAACAGAACTGGAAGCAGATTTTTCTTTATGGATATTTTACAAATCACTTAAACTGTATTCTTGTTTTGTCATATAGTATTTCATAACTGTATTCTCTCTGGCTGTCCATCTCATAATGTACACATAGAAACTAGCTGTCAATAGGAATATAATTCAGAAGAATTATAATTTCTTGCAAAAATCTGTCACAAAAAGGGGTTGCACATTTAAATTCAGGTGTTGTTATGACAACGTCAGTGGCCAAACAGCCACATGTACTGCTGCAAATACGTTCAAACATGCTGTCTACACGTAAAGCAGTGTTAACTATGCCACCATTTCAGCTGACTTTTTCTCAGAAATACTGTCACATAGCATCCATATATTTCAGTGCTAGGTTGATGCTTAGCTAAGGTAACTATGAAACACTTTAACTGACAGGACTCAGGATCAACGGTGTACTGTAAAGTAGTTTCTAGCTTCATGTCGAACAGTAAGTCAACATTTATTTCTTTGAAATCACCAGGTAACACTAAAAAACATTACATTTAGATTGTATCACAAAGTGTTTATTTAATATATCTGGCTAGCTACTGTATTAAGCTACTTGTTAACGGTTTAGCTTACCCCCGCGATTCAAAGTAATGTCAACGTAGCTGTAATTTATGCTTTGCTTACATGTTCGCATAACTTGGAAGTTTACAGACATTTACATACCTTGTTTTCCTGTCTCAAGTGGTGGCTCTGGGGTTGTTGTGTGAGCCACCCCTTGAGAATTGTCGTCTTTTTAAAGATTTTTTTTTCGACTGACAGTTTATTTTAAACATTGTCCCAGCTCACAGGATAGGTACCTGTCATCCAATAAGACAGATGTTTATTTCCATTCAACTCTCTGGTTGGTCTGGTGTCTTGCCTCTGTTGCATTCACTGAACACGGGAAATTACAATCCTACCGTCCTCTTCAGGTAAAGCACGGTTAATGTATTTGACTTTGAGAGTAGGCAATCTAGGCATATTAACAACATTTATTAAACCTACTTATCACGGCGACTGTGTTTCTTTTCATTTCTATTTTTTGCTAGGGGGCCCTAAGCGCCTTATGGGTCCTTATGTCGCTTAATGGGTCGGGCCGGCTCTGGCTGACAATGAGAGAAAGTAAATGTAATGCTAAAGATTAAAGAGTAAAGCTTTGGTCAATAACTCGCCCACTTCCTGGCTGCACATTGTAATTGTCTGTCTAGTGGACATACAGCGTAATGACAAGTCATATTTTGCTGTACAGGCTGCTTTTCAACCATGATATTTTCTTAACAACAATGGCAACATTGTATGCTATGTATGAAATTGTTTCTTTATCTGAAATGCCCTGTTTTCATTTTCAAGATGACAAATGCCTTTTTACAAGCAAGGCCTGCACCAAATTTGGTCCAACACTTCGGCATTTTCATCATGATGACTCTAATCCACTTTCCTGACACTAAACAGCACTGATTTTATTTTTCAGGTACAACTGTACAGAGATATGGCATGAGTTTGAAAAAGCCTATGTGAACCGCGACCCGTGTAAGATCCCCATGAATGCCTATGACTCTTTAGTTGCTGCGGCGCCCTTTGAACATGCATACAACAAAGTAAAAACCTTTCATCACAAAACTGTGCACATTATCCACTAAATGTATCTTTGGAAATACAGATTAATACATTTTATATTTTTGTTTTCGGGTTAGACGTTGTTCTGGAGTAAAACAAAGAATCTGGTCCGTGACTTAACTAAGAACAGGGATGATGTCAATTTGGAGAAAACTCTGCTGGGATCTGTGCTGGATGGTCTGACCTGGTGTGGAAAGATGGGCAGCAGTGGTAAGACTCTTTGTGAAAAAGTCAACCTTATAATGCCGCAATTTAGTCCAGTTTAGCTTTTACTTGCTAAATAGAGTAAAAAAAACAAAGGAGAGAGAATCAAGGAGTAGCAGCATTGATTCTATGGAATTGTCTTACGTTCAGTGAGCTGACCTTTGACCGTAATCAATAACTGAAAGAGGTATCAATCTTTTCTTCTTATTAAAAAGAAGTCAGTGTATTTCTCCAAATGACCAACGATTTATTTGAATCCCAATAAAACAGATGCATACGAAACATATTATGTTTCTCATTCCCACCATGAGATATTTACACAATCACACATAGTTAAAGGGGACCTATCATGCAAAATGCACTTTTGTACGTCTTTTATACATGAATATGTGTCCCCGGTGTGTCAGGGAACTCACCAAGTGTCAGAAAACACAACCCTCTCTCTTTTCCTCCATACCCAAATCTCTAAAAACGGGGCTGCAACGGAGCTGATACAGATTTGAAATTGTTCTGACGTCAGAAACGGGGTGCTCCGCCTATATGGGCAACTCTCCACCTATCAGGGGAATGAGAGGTTGCGTGGCATGGTAACAGCATGGTAACATGACGCTCGTGCCTCGCCCCCCTCCTTTGCAGGGGGGGCGTGGTCAGCTGCAGCTCATTTGCCACAGAATCAGCCCTTGTGAATACAGGGCTGGAATAGAGCAAATAGAGCGAAATGAGGCATGACTAAAATGCATGATCTGTTTGGTATTTTGAAAAAAAAACTTCACAGACATGTTTTATATAGGTATGGCCCTACAATATATTATTCAAATATAGCATGATAGGTCCACTTTCATATACTCTGCTAATACAATGGGGCACTTGTTTTCACTACTATGTTTTGTTTATATTTGGATCAGTCAATTATGTCTCAGTGTGTGTGTAAAGCTCTGAGGTTTCTGCTTAGTTTCCTGTACAGCTCATCATAGCAAATTATTATCATTGAAATGCAAAAAAGATTGACTATGGGTATGTGTTGTTCTAGAAACATTCACTAAAGGCTGCCCAGAGTGGAATGAATGTGTGAACAATCCTCCTCGCTCTTTTTGGAACAGACTCTCAACTGCTGTAAGTTATCAACAAGAATTCACTATTTTTGCCAAAAATACAACAGTAGGAAAAAGCTGAACCTGTAAAACCCTCTTTTTTTATAATGTGTTGCTGTATCAATGTTTCTGTGCAACATTTCCTTGAGATAAAAAGACCTCTAAACAACCATGTTGTTTTCCAAATTGTAGCAGATAAAAAAAAGAGCAAGGAAAACGTTTGAAGGCAGTACAATTGATTTGTTTAACAAGGCAAGGCATGTTTATTTATATAGCACTTTTCAATTCAAAGTGCTTTACAAAAACAAAACACATTAAGAGCATTAAGAAATAGTGCAGCGGAAACACATCTTAAAATGGAATCTAAAAACAGGTTTTAGAAAGCAAAGAGAATAACATATACATAAAATAATCGTATTTCAAATACATGAATAAAAGTAACAGTGCAGACTGTGTAAGATATTAATAGTTTGATTAAAAGCAGCGGCAAAAAAAAGTCTGGATATAAAAGTATTGAGAGTTGCAGCGGACCCGCAGGTTTCCTGGAGTTTGTTCCAGATATTTGGAGTATAATATCCATAGACTTTATATAAAGATAATATTGGAAAGCTGCTTCTTATGAAGGTAGATATGGTGCAAAATGCGAGAGCGTGTAAAACCTGATGTGAGCACTTACAGGAAAAAAATCTGAGCTTGTGTGCATACATTACACTTGTATAAAATATCCACGTATCTGTGAACCAGATTTGAAGTCACAGAAGAAAAAAAAAAGTTTTCTAGCTTGTAGGAAAAAAATGAACTTAGTGATGAAATGTTCACTTGCAGAAAAAAAAAAATGTTTTAAATATATTTACCATTACAACTGCAACCACCTCTCAAATCAGTCATTACAACTTCACGAATCTGCTCTGTGGCAGTATAAATCGACGCATACTTCACGCTTACGTCGGAGGGGGGCGAGATTAACCTGAGCTAACAGTTTAAGGCGAGTACAGCAAATAAAAGTTGTAACAAGCAGTAGTGCTGAGTAAAGTGACTAGAACGCAACCACATACTTATACAAAAAAAACACACACTTTATAAAGTCAGGCAACACTAACCAGGCTTCTTGGGATTCTGTTTATTTGTACCTTACTTTGACCATCCGTTCACTGTTATTGATCATTGTGGAGAGCAGGCAGACGTTTTGTTTTGTATTATAGCAGCTATCGGATGGAATCAATACATGGGCTGCACAGGTTGTCGTGTCCGACTATCACAAGTAGAATCATAATGAAAAATACGCCGGTAAAATGTGCCTGTAGAAAACGGCTTATGCCACAATAGGATAGCAACAAGTAGTCAAGTTATAGTCAGTTTAGCTTCGGTTGCCATGCTAACATCATCCATTTTATACCAGAGAAACTTTCATAACAGCGTTGTGATGCCAAACAGCGTCAATTTAGACTGACACACATTCACTTATGGGGAATTGGGGATATTTATCAGCCACTTGTGTGACAGTCGGACAGTGAATACTTTACAGCGGCCGCTGCTGTGAGTTAATGGGAGAATAAACTCCTGTGGAAGAGCAGCCAGCACTGCAGCAGTCGGTAAATGCCGCTGTAACACATTAATAAACAATGAACCAAGGCACTCTGGAGAAAAGTATAAGGTTGGAGAAGTCGTTATTTAATTTAATCTGGTGATTTAATCTGTATGATTAAAAGCAACACGATCATCGACCCGACGCAGTCCCCCATTGTTGTTGTAGTTAGCGCCGTTGGGGAAAAAATCAGCGACGTAAAGGGTGACGTCCTGACGTCGGCAGCACCAGTCGGGCTCTGAGCGGTGTGAACAGAGCGGGAGCTGAACCGAATAACCGGTTCTGATCCAGAAAAGCTCTAGCACGGAGCTAGAATGGGAAAAGCCTTGGTGTGAAAGCCTTGGTGTGAAAGCCTTGGTGTGAAAGCCTTGGTGTGAAAGCCTTGGTGTGAAAGCCAAGCGCGAAAAAAGTGTCGGTCTAGCCTAGGCAAGAACCGCATACGTCACGCTTACGAGATTAACCTAAACTAACAGTTTATGGAGAGTAAGGCAAATAAAAGTTGAAACAAGCAGTAGCGCTGAGCAAAGTGACTACAATGCAACCACACACTTGTAAAAAACACACTTTATAAAGTCAGGCAACACTAACAACTGATAGCTCTGGCCCTTCGCTCCAACCCCCCCCCCCCCCCACATCTACAGGTGAAAATTATTTTGGCGACACATTCATCTCAAGAAGTGTAGCAAAAGTCAAGGCCGCAGATTCGTCGAGAGGTTTACACATCCATCTCTTCAAAAGAGCCTTTGCCTAGACCTTTTTATCACCCTTTTATTTATTTTGTATTGCTTTTTATTAATTCTACCGTGTTGTGTAATGTTTATTTATACTGTTCATGCTCACTACTTGTAGAACTTCGGGATTTGAAATCAAATATGAAGTGCTTTATAAATGGAACCCATTATTATTATTATTATTATTGTAATTACCAAGTTGCAGTTGTAATGGAAAATATATTTTAAAAATATATATTTTTCTGCAAGTGAACATTTCTACGGAGCCCTGGAGGGTTCATAGAGAGAAAAATAAATAAAACGTGGCCACGTTTTACTTTCTCGTGCGCACGCTTTAGTAACTCGTGCGCACGCTTTAGTAACTCGTGCGCACGAGTTACTAAAGCGTGCGCACGAGTTAATAAAGCGTGCGCACGAGTTAATAAAGCGTTGCCACGTTTTATTTATTTTTCTCTCTATGAACCCTCCAGGGCTCCGTAGAAATGTTCACTTGCAGAAAAATATATAGTATATAGTGTGCTGTTCGTGGTAATTTGAAAACAAATGCCGGTGGTGTCGGATACATACGAACACGCACACAGAGCTGAGCACACACACACACACCACACACACACACACACACACACACACACACACACACACACACACACACACACACACACACACACACACACACACACACACACACACACACACACACACCATGCGCCCCGGTGACAGGACATCTCCTTCATAAAGCGAGGGGGAATACTCTAGTTCGATGTGTGTATAGGTGTGTGTGGTTAAACGTAGCAGCCTCGATCTCTATTCAGCGGTTCTAGTGAAGTAACCAGTAAAAGGCACAGCTCTTTGCAGCTGGTGCTGCTCTTCTCAGATTCTGCTGAGTTACACGTTACTGCCTCCAGTGCCCTGTACGACGAAGCCAGTTCAACAGACCCTGGACCTGGATATGTTCGATTTACCCGGCTTAACTGACCCTAACAAACGCGATGTCGATAAGCGGTCCTACGAAGCTGGTTATCAACTCAGTAAATCAACCAGGGTTTCTCTGTCCGGCTGAGAGCGCGCTCATGTGAAAGGGACGGGGTTAGCAACATTTGACCAATCACAAACATGGAGACGCGTGCTGACAGCGCAGCGTCATACTTCATGAATGAATAGTGTAAATAGCAAATCCTGCTTCGTAGTACAGGCCACTGGTGCCGCAGAGATTTCATAAAGTGAAGGAGGTTTTCCTTCTATAAAACAGCTGTGTGCAGCAGATACTGTGAGTCACGGACAGGAATCCCTCAATTTAAATAAAACGAGGCCACGCTTTATTAACTCGTGCGCACGCTTTAGTAACTCGTGCGCACGAGTTACTAAAGCGTGTGCACGAGAAAGTAAAACGTGGCCACGTTTTATTTATTTTTCTCTCTATGAACCCTCCAGAGCTCCGTACATTTCATCACTAAGTTCATTTTTTTTCTACAAGCTAGAAAACTTTTTTTTTTCTTCTGTGACTTCAAATCTGATTCACAGATACGTGGATATTTTATACAAGTGTAATGTATGCACACAAGCTCAGATTTTTTTCCTGCAAGTGCTCACATCAGGTTTTACACGCTCTCGCATTTTCCATCATATCTACCTTCATACTTCTCCATGTTTAGTTCTGACTCAGAGGACAGAAAGCAGACCCGTCCCAGAAGACCTGAGAGATATTGGTGGTTCATAATTTAGCAGGAGATCAGAAATGTATTTTGGCCCTAAACCCTTCAATAGACTGGCGAAGTCCCTCCCCTTCCGGTGGACCTCCATGAGACCTTATTTCGGAAAAATTATGTATTGAAGTCAATGGAGAGAAAGATTATCTTTCGATCCCGTTTGAATTGTGCCACAAATTACACATATGATGTTTGTCAATTTAAAAGATAATTTTGCCAGTGAAAAAAAAAATGTCGTAAAACTGTGAAGTAAAAACATTTTTTGTGTGAAACACACAATGAACTACATCTCTGGTCTTGCACAACAACACACTTCACCAAGATGGCCGTCACTACTGTCTTGCTAAACAAAGGATTGACCCTCACTATCACCACAATGTAAAACACGTCCAGAAGAATGTCATGCAAAGCTGCCTGCCTGCCTGCCTTCCTTTGATTCTCTCTGAACTCCCTGATCTTTTAAATGTTTAATGTCAACCATTTGTGCAGATAGCATGCCATGAAGTAGAAAAGATCGACGATGCTAATGTAGCGTTAGCGTTAGCATTTCTCCCCCGGGCTTAAATGGTGTAGTATAGCAACCCAGTCTCACGGCATTTCGTGTTCACAAACACGATTTTTAATCTATTGATTCGTGTTCACCAACACGATTTGCCCCTTTTTTTCGTGTTGCACAGCACGATTTTAAAAGCAATGTATTTCTACTGCCTGCAGCACGTCTTTTTCTCCGGTCGGGTCGAGGAAGACCGGAAGCTGTGTGGTTCATAAAAAACATGTTCTTACTCAATATCAAGCCACAGTTATTGCTTTTATTTTAAATCGTATAATTTCGGACTTTTGTTGCCGTCTGTGAGGAAAATAAATGGGGCTCAGAGCCTCAGGATACTGAAATCTGTATTTTTTAAATCTTTTTTTCCTTCTAATTTGTTATTCTTTCAAAATAGCACACTGTTATTTACTCACCAATAACACACAATTATCTTTGCTTTTATTTATTGGTTTAATTCCATAATCTCGTTTTTTTTTGGCGTCCGTCAAAATCGACCGAAGGCCACTTTCGAGAGTCGTTTTTCCATACATCTGCAGGCAGTCTGTAAGGGCAATCGGACAACCCACACAGCTCTAGTTTACGCTGGTAACGACCTAGAGCACACCCCTCAAGTCCAGAGATGTAATCCGAAGACATGCAGCGATTTCTTCGGTCGTTAATTCAGAAAAAAAACCTAGTGCGCTCTGCCTGGCTGCATTACTTAGCTGTTTATATTAGCACCTCCAGGATATTAGCACCTCCAGGAAAATGGCGTATTTATATATATATATGGCGCGCGTTGCATTGTGGGTAGCTCGTGACGTCACTGTGTGTGAAAGAATAACAACCTGGTAGGCCTACTAAGCACACAGGCATCTTGTTAAAGTTATCTTATCTTAGCTATCTCTTATATTTAGCTGAGGAAAACAATTGTAACATCAGTTATGACATCACTTAAGCGACTTTGGGATTTGTAGTCTTTCTAGTTGCGTATATTTCAACAGTTTTACGACAAACTGTAACTTTTTTGACATGGAAATGATTTTTTAAGATTGACAAACATCATATGTGTAATTCGTGGCACAATTCAAACGGGATCGAAAGATAAGTTGTCTCTCTCCATTGACCTCTATAGAGAACCGCAGTGACGCATCCTAAAACCCGGAAGTAAACTCTTTCCGGTTCCTTCGTCAAAAATGCAATGCAATTTCTCCATAGGATTTTGGAAAATAGCTCGAAATAAGGTCTGTGGTTGACACACATTTAAGAGACGGATCACGTTTTGTTCAGCCGGATAATATCCACATGTCTACCCTACTTTTATAATTTTCGAATCATAAATCTAGTCGCAAGAAGCAAAATGCTAACGTTATGCTATAAACGAACTACAGCAGGGTCGCTGCTTCAACGTCACGCCAACTTAAGATCCATATTCAAACATACAGATTATAAATGGTACAAGTTGAAGCGTTTGTTTGAACATTTTGCAGGAGGCAGGTACTTGCTTTCAAGCAGAACAGGGCAAACAAATTTAGCGGGAGTGTTTTACGTGTTCGGTGTAATGACGTAAAACGGCCTGGACAACTTCTGTAGTCCTATTCAGCCACATGTTAACAACCATCGTTTTTCTTCAAATATCACCAGCGGGGTCACTGCTGATGTATTCAATGTCGTAGAACAAAACGTGATCTGTCTCTTCAATTTGTGTCAAACACAGACCTTATTTGGAGCTATTTTCTAAAATCCTATGGAGAAATTGCATTGCTTTTTGTTAAAGGAACCGGATGTGGTAAAAATGCTAACTTACTTCCGGGTTTTAGGACGCATCACTGCGGTTCTCTATACATAATTTTTCCGAAATAAGGTCCCATGGACCGGAAGTAGATGGCCGTGACTTCGCCACTCTATGCTTTATAAACCAGCAGCAATATGTTGAAGTCAACGGACAGGAAGCCATGTCTAGACCGCAGAACTGGAGTGATGTGATGTTAGTGAGGACTCGAGCAGCAGCGTTCTGAATGACAGTGAATTCCTATGGAAACACAATGATCATAACAATGTTTTTTACCTTTTTCAAGAAGAGCATTGCTGGGAATATGAAAAAAATAAACCAAATTCCATTGATTGCTAGGGAGCTTCTGCTCCATAAATCCTAAATGTCTATATTTCAAAAGGAAATTGTTGGTCTGTAGTGTAAATCTAAAATTGCATTTACTCTAACTTCATCTTCCTGTCTGTAGTTTGCAGATGTTGCCTGTGAGGATGTCACATTAATACTAGATGGATCCATCGACACACCATTCAATCCTTCAACGTAAGCACTTCTAATGCTGACAGTTTAATTACTTTTATCCAACCCTATTTTAATATAGGGTCGGAAAATTCCTTAGCTGACCTCTAAATTATCATGGTTCTGCTCCGAATCACAAATGTATGCAGATGTGTTAATAATGTAATGGTTTTCTTTTAGTTAATATATGAGGAATACATAATGTGCTGTGGTGGTTGCAGGTTGTTGGTTTGAAAATATATTTTTTAAAGTTATAATAAATCCTTTAAATGTATTTTCAGTACTTTTGCAACAATTGAGGTGAAGAGGATCAAATACCCCAAGGTGAAAAGCCTAACAGTTGTTATTGTCCCTCAAAAGTAAGATTTTCTCCATGTTTGCAAAATTAATAAATGTTTTGTATGTGCTTCTACAGTGGTTTATTTTAGGGGTACAACACATACATATACAGAAAGTTAAACGTATGCAAGTAAAGCTGTTCCTTAAGTTTCGTCTTCTGTATCCTCCTCAGGTCAAACTGCAATAGTGAATCTTTAAAGGCTTTAAAGAGTGCGCTGGTTCAAGGAATAACATATAACTGCAAGGAAGTGACTGAGTGAGTACAGCCTCTCTGTTTAAACATGTTTAAATTCGAAATATATTGACCTTATGTTATTTGTTTCTTTGTATGCAGAGCTAAGATCAAGAAGTGCAGCTCCGATCCAAAGACACCCATTGGGAAGTGTTGGTGATGACGTGTGAACTCAATATCAGATTGGATTGTGTGACAAAATGACACACAACAAGCCTTACAAATATTTTGCCTAGAGTTTATTTTTGAAAAGTCTTTGTAAATTGAACAATGTGCTATTATGAAGTACTTTAAATATACTGTATCATTATTTTTGTATGAGTTTGACAACATGTGAAATTACTCTTTTTTTATGTAAATGTCAATGACCCATTTTTACAATGACAATGCTGTTTTTTTAATCTTTTTTGCTTTTTAATTACGTTCAATTGACAATCTCGCTTGTATCGTTTTCTGCCTTTTATATGAGAACAATCTGAAAAAACCCTCAACATTATCGATCCTATTTTTTAGAATAAGTACATAGAGCAATGTTGATAAACGTAACAATGCATTATTGTTTAATAAAAGAAAAAGAAAAAAACATTAAAATATGGAAAAAAATTAAATAAAATGTGTGTTAATATAAGGATAAATATGGGATGTATTAATAAATGTGAGAAAATAAAAGTGTTAATAACAATGTTAACTGTGTCAGTATATTTATCGTATGGCTTGATTTCTGATCAAATATCATGTTTTGCACACTGAAATTGATCCTGCTATTAGATTCAGTTATGCTGATGGCAAAACCTGAAACAATATTTTGATAAAATGTTGGTGTAATGTTAAATTATTAAATTGAAGTACAGATCACGCAGCATTTTGACAATTTTTAAATGTGCAACTATACACATTTTATTTTTGTATAAATGAAAATCTGAGTAAAAATGAAATTATTATTATTTTGGTTATCTGGTTTAAATAAAATAAATCAGCAATACACAACATATAACACAACAGGTCATCCTTAGTAAGTTCATCTGTGGTGTTACCTTAAATAATACAATGAGTTATTGGGCATTTTTCTGAAATCACAAAGATATGATTTATTTCTGAGAAATACACATGGTGTTGATGCTAAATATGTTTCTTTCTCTTTGATTCATGTGAAACCGTAACCTATACGAAGATGTATGGTGTATGCACATATATTCAACCACTAAACCACCTAAGAGAATAGAAAGGGCTGATAAAAAAAGGACAACTTATTTTGCTTTTATATTTGCAGGTGTAGGCCACAAGATGTCTTATCTGTAGTGTGAGCCGAGGGCGTGTTCTCGGTGACACAGACAGGAACTTAAAGAGTGGAGTCGAGAGTGTGCTGTTTGATCGTTGTGGCAGGAAGCAGGAGTCACGCCAAGTTCAGAAACAACCTTTTCTTTCCTTTCTAGTGACTTGCTGCTGTGTGAGACTCACACATACCGTAAACACACAGCTGTTTGTGCTGGGAACACACTGAACAGGTGTTACATGCAGAAAGACCCCTTCCCTAAAACCACAACATGGGGTACTGAGACAAGCACTGTAATGTCGGTAAACATCGTCATAGTTTTAGTCACTCCACCAACACTACAATGCCAAAAATAATCTTTATAGCAGTAGAGGATAACATGTGTTACATTGAGTATACACACATTTACATGTATTCCGTCTAATTTACAACACGGTAACTGGTTACTGGTAACTTGTTATTTAAAGTATTATGAGTTTGGAATCCATGATAAGACAATACCACTCTATGTGTACAAGAAATATGATGCCAGCCAACAAGCGCTTAGCTTAGCATAAAGACCGGAAACAGGGGGAAACAACTAGCTAGCTTTTCTCTCTCTAATAACAACAATCAACACATTATATTTTGTTTTGTTAAGCCAACGTTAAAAACTGAATGAAAACCTTGTAGTTTTATTGCAAGGCAAGTACATTCCTGGAGTCTTGGTTGCCATGGAAGCCAAATTATGGCCCAAGATTAGGGTGCGTTTGTTCATCCAATCTGATGTAAGGAAAGCGTTGTTGTTAGAAGGAACAGAGTGTTCTATTTCTAAATGAATTACTGAAAGGGTTGGTTAAATGCATAAAAGGAAAACTTTCCCATCGATAATTATGTGTAATTTAAAAGAATGTAGTGCCTCTTGCTTATCAGTGAATAGCCTTAGATGATTATAATGAGACATAATAACAATATGTCTATGAAAATAAATAGGTAAGTCACTTCTGTCTCCTCAGATAGAGCTCCAGAGTCCGCTCTGCCACTTCCAGTGTGAGCTCCTCTGAATAAATGAATGATACATTCCAACCAAGCTTTAAATCTATAAGGTCCATTTTGAGTGCTCTTCGGTACTCAGAGTGACTATTTTCGAATGCAGCCACTTCATTTTTTCATATGACTCTGCAAAAAGTAGAGTCATATAGGAACAGCAAAAAGTGAATCAGAATATTTCCCAAATTACCTTCTTAATGATCTAGAATTAGGTCCTGAACCCCCAAAGAACTGCTTCCAAACAAAAGTAATCTTCAAAAAGCAACATATCTTCTCAGTGAAACCAAATAATTGCTAAATCCATAAGACACCCAATACAGACTAGCTACAATGACAGACTAATCAACTTTGTACTTTTAAAAATTACAATATCATATTTCCTCCACCTATATCAGTGTTGTTTTTTGCAACTAAATACATTTGCGTTGGCGTTGGCACTCAACTGTATTGGCTTTCACCAATATATTAACATCCTTATTGGGGAGGACTGTATTTTATCTTGTACTTATTGGTGAAGTGGGATATCCCACAGTACCCAGCTGAAACCTTCCCAACATCTGCAAAAAACTACGGAGCCCCCTAGGGGACATGGAGAAGAAACAATTTTTTTTTTGAAAACAAATAAAAATAAAATGTTTTGCGAGATCTCGCAAAACCTTTGCGAGATCTCGCAAAACCTTTGCGAGATATCGCAAAACCCCTTTGCGAGATCTCGCAATACTTTTGCGAGATCTCGCAAAACCCCGTTGCAGTTTGTAGACGGTCCCTAAGCACTCCTCTCCCTCCTCCAGCTGCGGATTGTGACAAATTATTGATGTTTAGCTCGGATGACGGCGCGTATCGAACTGTTCTGATACAAACGACTCTGTAGCTCGTTGTCTACCTTGCTATGATTGTAAAGTCATGTTGTTTGTATTTTTACAACGTTATGTTCATGAGTTATTGATCCGCGAAATTCGAATCTGTCAATAACTCAGCTCAGAGGAACGTGCACGTCCCCTCGCTCCGAGTGTTTTCTTGAGGTGTCTTCACTTATGTGAAACCCTTTATATATACAGTCTATGTGTGAAACCCGTGCTTATTGCCAAGCACTGATGTTATATCTTTATATTTAAGGCCAAGCTCAAAGTAAAATCGATGAACCACTCCATTGTTGTGGTTTCTGTGTTGCCGTAGCAGCCGAACTGACCAGGAAGTACTAAATGAAAAGTATTGCGAGATCTCGCAAAGGGGTTTTGCGAGATCTCGCAAAAGTATTGCGAGATCTCGCAAAGGTTTTGCGAGATCTCGCAAAACATTTTTTTTTTTTTTCTGTTCAAATTATTTATTTTTTTCTTCTCCATGTCCTCTAGGGGGCTCCGTAAAAAACAATGTAGGCCTAAGTAAAAAAAAATAAAAAAAATCCACAAAAGGAATATTTTTGGTGGAAAAAGTCTCAGAGGGGGAACTATGTTGCCTGTTTCCCTTTGGTCATCACCTGATATCAAAAAGAAAAGCGTGAGGTTGAATCTTTAAAGTGAATGCATTATGTAAAACTAAGACATGTTTCTAGAAAGAATAAATGAGCAGTCATGGGTGGAGTGAGTCCCCTGCTGAGAGCCTGTTACCGGAGGAGGAGGAGCACAGCGTATTTCCCCCGCTTTGTCTTCCCTGAAACAAGACTGTTCTTCTGAGTCAACAGATTGAGTAACATGATAGAGCCTGCGATATGTGTGATTTTCCCACAGCCCACAGCAGCTTATGTGCTTTTTTTGGTGGGACAGTTTCATCTTGACATTTTTTTTTTTTAAACGTCTTCCGGTTTCTTAGTGTGAGAATTTAAACCAACCAGGAAGAAAACGCACTAGGCTACACTGTAAACAAATAAATAAAAAAATGTAGGCGTTTTGTACATGTTTTCTTTTTGCATGCGATTATGTATCTATATTTTTTCTTCTTCCATTGTTCAATTCGTCAAATGAATGTTTTAAGTCGAGTTTCCCTTGAAAAAAGAGAATAAACGACAGTCTATCTCATATTGCTTAAGAAAAAAAAAAGTGTAATTTCTTGCAGTGGGGAGTCAGATATTTTCTCTTAGTCATCGATTCTTAGTGTACCATGAACACATCGCTAATTACCGCTCGTGCTGCTGATCAGTTACTTGTACTTTCCTTTCCTTCAACAGAGTCGTCAGCGGCCCTGCCCCTGAATACACCCCGCCGCGCGAGGGAATCCCGGCATATGATTGGACGATGCACGCTTCCTCAGTCATTCAGGATCCTGATTATAAAGTGTGCGGTACAAGGAGTCACTGCTTCAGAATCCAGCTGTTGTGGAGGACACGAGAATCTGACAACATGGTGAGGGTCTTTATGTGATTGTAATTGTTGTGTGTGTGTCTGCATGCATATTTAAGATTTAAGAACTTTTAAAATGGCTTCATAGGATAATACTCCTGTGTTCTTGTTTGTTGTGTTAAATTAAGTGGTTTAAAGATAGTTCCACGTGCAGCCTGACTTTAGGCGGTGTGAAATTATTCACATCCTCCGCGTGGGTTTGACATCAGCTGTGGCATTTTCTGCACGTTGTAGTAACCTCACAATTGTATTGTTTATTTTGGCTTTATTAGGCTTGATTTATGAATTAGATTATTATTTAAAAGGTAAAATATTAGCTTTTATTTGCAATGTATCATTACCACATGTATTGATATTTCTTTAGTTATTGTTATATATCATTTCATTCATGCTTAATAACATTTAATAGCCTATATAATTTAATAAGATTTTTTTATTTTGTAGATTTGATATAAAAAATTATATATCAGGTCAGCATTTAGTTTAGTTGCTAATTTTGAGGGTTTTTATATTTATGTTACATTTGTACTAATATAAATGAATCTTTATTATTTTATTAATGATTCTCTTTAAGTAGTATGTAAACAACAAATCAGTTAGCCATATAGGCTATATTAAAATAAACATTTTAGATTAAAACATTCTAAATATCAATAAAGTTTAAGATCCCCTGCAGTCAGATTTTCTTTTGCATTGATTCCTTTCATATAAATGTTTGATAATGGTTTAAAATGGCTTATGTATAAAGTACCTGCTCTTCTGTTATTTGACAGTTACAACAAGCAAACCCAATGGACAGGCCAGCTGTGGAGAGATCACAGACCACAGACAACAGACTGACACACAGACTGTATCCATCACTGCCAGGCATAAACAGGTCAGGAACATCCCTTCATTTCATCAGAGATTATTACTGCATGCATATTTATTTTTGATTTACTGGCCTGCAGTGGTTGAAGAAGTACTCAGATCCATAATCTAAGTTAAAGTTAAAACAGTCGTTTTACACAGTAC